CTAAGATAGGAAATATCTGCAAAGTGCACTATAGAAACTTGGAGTTTCTAACTATAGAAACTTGGAGTTTCTAACTATAGAAACTTGGAGTTTCTAACTATAGAAACTTGGAGTTTCTAACTATAGAAACTTGGATTTTCTAACTATAGAAACTTGGAGTTTCTAACAAACTTACCAGGTTTATACATGACGATGGCTACTTCCAAAAAAGAATCAAAGTACAGGAAGAGTACTTGAGGAACTTTCATATTAATCAGGGCCACTGAGTCAAGGACACTCACTGGTATGTATCCTATTTAACATCCCTTTAGAAAGCATTATGAGAAACATGCATGTGCGCACCAAATGAACTATCACTAACGACTTCCAGAGAAACATACATGTGAGCACAGGATGAACTATCACAAACAACGTATCAGAAATCTCCAACGTTCTCCTTCCCAGCCCGATAACTCAGGCTTGGGGAGTTAGGGTGTGTGTGCTTTGGGGAAGGCATAAAGAGCTAATGTACTAGCTTAACAGCCCGCTGATGCAATTTCCTAATGAACATTTTCAGTACCGGAACCATCCGTAGTTGCTGCAATTCAAAGGTGCAGGCTGCTTTGGACAAGAAACCGTGAGAGGATTATTAGATTGTAGAGCAGCAAAAGTGATCTACAGACAGAAGCCTAGGGGTTAATGGCTCATCTGTCAACCAAGACTGATATGGATTGAGTTGTAAAGGACTAAAATCACCTGGAAGGTGTATAGTCATGGATCAGCTTAAAAGGGAGGATGTTGTAGAGCAGACAAGCATATCAGGCCGCTATGAAGGGCTGTAGAACCTCTGTGTCACCGGCCTACCGGATGTCCTTGTGCTGGGGTGACCTCCACTGGTACTTGATCGAGTGGGTGCGGGCGGGGGTTGTCCTGGCAAAGGGAAATCTCCAACGTTCTCCTTCCCAGCCCGATAACTCAGGCTTGGGGAGTTAGGGTGTGTGTGCTTTGGGGAAGGCATAAAGAGCTAATGTACTAGCTTAACAGCCCGCTGATGCAATTTCCTAATGAACATTTTCAGTACCGGAACCATCCGTAGTTGCTGCAATTCAAAGGTGCAGGCTGCTTTGGACAAGAAACCGTGAGAGGATTATTAGATTGTAGAGCAGCAAAAGTGATCTACAGACAGAAGCCTAGGGGTTAATGGCTCATCTGTCAACCAAGACTGATATGGATTGAGTTGTAAAGGACTAAAATCACCTGGAAGGTGTATAGTCATGGATCAGCTTAAAAGGGAGGATGTTGTAGAGCAGACAAGCATATCAGGCCGCTATGAAGGGCTGTAGAACCTCTGGTGATGATGTCTGAATGGAAGGATGTGGTGAAACAGGCCAGGGTCTTACTAATGATCAGCATTAACAAATTGATCTGTTTATTTTTCTCTATTGCTCCCATTTAGCGGCATACTTATTATTATAATTATTTAATTTGAATTTGGATGTTAAGAATGATCAACACATAATTAAGTCTAGACATGGCTATAAATCAAATTTCAGCATGTACTGTAGATCCCTATTCAAAGGCCTATTTACACAAAAAATATTTCAATGGTATAATTGGGCCTTTGAGTCGGTCACAGGAGGTTTTCACCAGGTACATTGATTCTATTATAGAAAACAATAAGATTGTGTCTGTGTGTGAGCATATGACTGATTCTGTTCAGTGTGGTTACGGTATATATATGTAGAAAAGTGAAGTGAGTCGCTGTTATACATAATACTGAATGTTTAATAGTTTTAAGTCTTTTAATAAGCAATTATTTTTAAGGTTTCGAAGAAAACCTGTAAAATAATTTCCCAGCCAAAACTGAGAGAGTACACTAATAAGCAGATTACACACTTTTCAGGGTTTTCCTGGCCAAAACTAAGATTGTGGTTGGCTTATGATCCATTGGTAATAAATTTCCAAGATCCCAATAATGGCAAGTTACCTCAAGATTATTACCCAGTGTGATAAATCAAGCATCAAGTTAAAATGTGAAAAAATAAAACCAAAAATATTTTTTTTTAAAATTAGTGGCATCGGTAATGAAAAATAAATAGAATAAAAAGGACTGGATTTACCTGAAGTAAAATGTTGACCAGTCATTGTCCTGGAATGTCATGATTCATCCTGCACATTCATCATAAGTTAATAAGAGCAGCTGTGAATTCTGGCAGTGATGGGGGTCTTCAAGTGATCTCTGTGAAAACAACAACTTTAACCTGGAAGTAAAATAATACATTAATTAGTAGAAGACAGAAACTTTATTATATTAGAGCGCAAGCTTGCATTAATATGAAGACAATATCCTATGAACACTTTTAACCTGAAAGTTACCATCATAAAAAGTACCAAAAAAATTAATCACACACTTGGTGTAATCATTGCTTTTACACCAGCCATGTTTGCATGGTTGTTTCGACAAAAAATTCCTGGCTCTCTAAGGGAAAGTTGAATAGCTTTGTTTATTTAATCTATTAAATAGTTAAAGTCCAAACACTATTGGAATTAGGGAGGTGGTGTTAAATGAACAAAAGAAAACCTTCAAAATGGTCACGTCAAGCTCAGTGCAAGATTTTAACTACAACTGCATTACAGTAGTGAATCTTTAAAAATGATCAATGGTAATATAATTCTAACCTGCAAGATGTAACTCTTGATTATTACTACTATGATTTTAACCAAAAAAATATATGCTATAGCGACTGATGAATCTAAATATAAGAAGCAATCCATCTAAATAGCTCTTTTGAATTTTTTAATCATTTCTTTTACAGCAAAAATGCACTCAATATGCGATGTCAGAGGGAAATTTAGATTTTTCAGGAATTTTTATCTAATTTTAACTAAATTAGTAAATTAGGAATGTGCAAGACTTTACCCTAACCTAATCAGTGAAACTAGCCATTCCAATACAGTCTTTTGATATTTTTTTACATTTGCGGGATTTATCTTTATATAAAGTCCATTCAAAGGATCAAGATACTAATATTTATTATTGGAAGGGGGATTAGGATGATTGCTAGGTGTTAAGAGAAAATGTAAAAATATGTGTTTATTATGGCATGTAATTGACTAGGACAGAGGCTCCCAGACTGTGTCCTGCTGCAACTTGAAGTGTTAAAAAATTAATGGACTTAATGCAAGCCATTTATAATTAAGTTGGTATTTTTCACTAGTTCTCCAACCTACTGTTTGGATAATGTTATTACGATCACGGATATATATGGTTTGTTGTGGTTTTCTTCATTAAATAACTTCAATTTACTGCTCTTTTTTAACATCTATCCTAACTCTCTGCCCAATTTTTATTTTAGTCACTTTTATATTTTCCTATATGTCTCAATTTTCAATTTACAGAGTTATCCCAAAATAATTCACGAAGAAAATCATAACTTTCTTTAGAATTGACCTACAAACATAAATTTAGTATCAATGAATTGCATTTTTCAGGCCCTATTTAACCAACTAGCTCTTAAAGCTATAAATTCATTTTGAAAATTTTACCCAAGTACCTGTTACTTGGTACTCTGTTCTTATTAAAGTACCAGTTGGTTTTGTGCAGCGTCTATGCTGTATCAATTAAATATTGTTTTGATAGAGTCAAGTGAAGTTAATAAGGTATGTCTTCTTGTATAAGTATAAGGTTTCAAAAATCGATTAGATTGTTTAAAAAGGGCTATTTTACAGTGCACAAAGAATGTGGCTTATTAGAGCAAAATTGAAAAGACGTGGGTGCTGGATTTTTTCTTGGCCGACGCTCAAGTGGTAGATTACCTATAGAACTATATTTAAAATAGAATTTAAAAAATACAATAAAATTATAAACATAAACGTATTCTTACTTGCTATAGATTTACGTCACATCGTCCTTCGTGTTTCTTCAACGCTACCGGTTCATGAAGGTCTTCAAAATTTGGCCCATTTCTCGATTGATAGTAATGGATCTAAGATGGCAACCCAACAGGAAGTATCCATCATACCCGTCACGTGACCAACCGAATATTATAAAGCCCTTACGTGACCAGCCGGGTCAAAATAGCCAATTGCTGCTATAGTACCCGGGTACCTATAGCCACTCCATTTTACTAATGTGATAGATGAAATTAAGTGGACAATTTTATATTTTAATACAGTTTAATAATGAAATGTGTTTTAGATTAAATTTCAATTAGGTTTTATTATTATTTTTTTTTAAATTAGTTCGAAAATGTGACGTACTGGGGGGGGGGGGGGGGCGGTGATTGGGGACAGT